AGAAGAGAGAGAGAGGGAAGAGACGGGAGGGAAGTGAGAGGAGGGAAACAGAGGGAGGGAAGAAGAGGGGGCGGAAAGGGAAAACGGAGAGTTCAGGGAACGGGAGGGGAATAAATGCGCAAAAGCGGACAAGCAGGGGGACAAGGAAAGCGGAGGAGAGGCACGAAGGAAGGGGGAAAGGGAGGGAGAAAGGGCACGGGGAAGGGGGAGGGGAGGGGTTGTGAAAGGGGCACACTCTTCAGCGCTGCTCCACTCCCATTCCCGCTCATAGCACACAACACACACCCCCTATTCCCATCCACACTCCCCTCACACACAATAACCCGTCATCCTCACTCCCCTACCCCAATCCCTCTTCCCCCAGTCCCCCGCGCACCCTCCCCCTCCTCCATCCCCCATCCCAACTCACTTCCGATAAATCTCCCCCTTCCCTTTCCTCCAACGTTGTCCACCCTCCCTCTCCTTCTCACGCGCTCACCTGCAGGTACGTGCCGACGTTAGCGGCAAGCACGCTATCTTCCTTCACGTTAATCACAACCATTGCCGTGCCAGGCGGGTCCCCGGGGAGCGCGTCCACCACTATAGTCACATCTTCGAACACCCCCAGCCCGCGCAGCGCCCGATTGGCGCGCAGCAGCGCCGACTGCAGATCCTCGAAGCTTCCGCCCGTCGCTTCCGCTTCCGCTTCCGCCGGTTGCGCTTCCGCCAGTTCCGCCAGCGCGCCCGCCATGATGCGGGAGATGATTGCCGCTTTCGTGCGCTTGTTCCCCGCGATGATCACGCGCGCAACGCGGCACGGGCGCGCGCGGATCCGCTCGTAGATACTCCGCGCCTCGCGGCTCATGCGCGGAGCGGCGCGGCGGCCCGGCGCGGTCGCTCCTTCCGACTTCCCTCCATCGGATGCCCCCTCTTCCTCCTCTCCCTCCTCCTCATCCTCATCCTCATCCTCCTCTTCGTCCTCGTCCTCCCCATCTTCCTCCTCCGCCGCCGGCTCCTCCGCCTGCTCTTCCCCCTCTCCCCCCTCCTCTTCCCCATCCCCTTTCTCATCCGCACCCTCCGCTTCCTCCACCACCACAGCCACCACCTCCTCCGCCTCCGCCTCCGCCCCCGCTTCCGCTTCAGCCTCCGCTTCCGCTTCCGCGTCCCCACCACCCGCCACGGCAGCAGCAGGCGCAGCAGCCTCCTCCGCGTCATCCCCGCGGTCACCCGGACCTTCCGCCTCCCCCCCGGTCTCGGCCTGGTTTCCCTCATTCCCGCTCTCCTCACTCGCAGATACGCGCGATTCGTCCGTCCCTGCGTCTAATGCTGCGTGTACGTCCCCTCCGTCACCTTGACCAGCTTTCTCTTCTCCTCCGTCTACTCGCATCGTCGATTTCTCTTCATTCTCCTCGTCGCTCGCGAGGGAATCGCCCGATCGCTCCTCCTCGATCCCCATGCCTCCTCCTGCTCGTGCTGTTGCTGCTGTATAGCGCGTACGAAAGTTTCCCACACTCTGTAAAGCAAACTCCTGGACTCCTTGCGTCGTCCTTCTCTACTTGATTTTATAACAGCAGAGTCTAGACAATGGAGGAACGAGATCAAGCGGCGAAGGCGGAGGATCCGCGCGCTGAGACCGCTCGGCGGTCAGCGGGGCCCGCGTCCGGGATGAGGGATGAGATGAAGGAGAGACGTTGATCTGATCCAGAATCTGGTCCAGGCAGTGTCAAATGAACTGGATGAATAAATTTGGTAAGGTGGGATCATCTGAGGCATTTACGAAAGATTTTGTGGGGAATGGGGTAATTGGGAGTACGAGGGAAATAGGTGGAATGGAATAGTATTGTTGTTTCCGAGGAGTGGAGGTCTGTACGCAGTATCTATGTTATCGAGAGAGGCGTTTTGGCGGGTACAGAATATTCTCAAGAAATGCGATCGTGGATTTCATGGTGGCGCAGGGAAGGGGAGATGGGAGAGAGCCGAGGGGGAGAGACGGGGAAGAGGGGAACGGTGACGGAAGGGGAGGCGGAATGGGAATGGAAGGTGGCGGCGGATGAGGGGGATGGCGTGGGGGGTGGGTGGGGAAGGGAAGGCTTTTGTTGCGTGCTTGGAAGGGGGTGTGGGCGAGGCTGGGGCGTTTTGGGGGTGGAACGTGAGAAGTGCTGGAATTGGCGAACAGCAAACAGCAACATTTGCGTCGTGACGAGCTTGACGAAAACGGTAACAGGATGTATTCCACTTTCCAACTTCCAGATGGAAGTTCCCCAGCAGAAGAGTGCACTGACGTGGTTACAAATACGCATCATTTCTCCTGACCCAGAGGCATCACGTCTATCGCCAATGTTCGCCTGCTCCTCCCATTAATCCCGTCATCGTTTGATCCAAGATCATTTGACCAGCTTTTGTTCGAGCCACACTACTTCGCTAACGGCACCATTATCCCAGGTCGCTCCCTGCCATCGATACGCGTTCAAGCAGCCAGCAGCCAGATCGTCAAAACCCTAATCTGAATTGCGCAAGCGGCAAATCGATGAATCCGACTTCGTCCGCGCACGCGCGCATGGCAGAAGACGCGGGGGAACTGAACGCACGGGAACGCGGTGGTGGCAGTGACTCCGCAGATGTTCCTGAGAGTCGTGTGCGCTGTGAAAGCAGCGATGTGGGTATGGAGGGCAATAAGATGGAGGGTGAAACAATCAGGGAGGCGGGGGGTGAGGAAGAGCAGGCAGAGGCGTCCTCTTCGGGTTCAGACTCCCCCGAGGCTCCCGCCTCGCCTCCCCCGTGGTATGACGCGGAGATGGATGACCGGGACGAGCGGTGGATGGCCAAGACGCGGCGGCGCCGCGGAGGGCGGAGGTCTGATGCCATTCTTAGCTGCCCTGCCTGCCTGTCGTCCGTCTGTTTTGACTGCCAGAGGTGTGTGAGACAGAGCTACTGTGCGCTGCTTACAGCTTCTTGCCTTTCCCTCTCTCTCTCTCTCTCTCTCAATTGATCCGTGTATTAGATCCGAGCAAGTACACACATGGACGAGGATATGTAACATGCATTTCAGCATCTATAACCCCTTATCCATTTCACCTCTCTCTCTCTCTCTCTCTCTCTCTCTCTCTCTCTCTCTCTCTCTCTCTCTCTCTCTCTCTCTCTCGTTCACACACACACACATAGTATTGCAACCCCTCACCCCCTCCCCGACCCTCCCTCCCATCCTCCTCCCCGACTCATTTCCCCCCTCTCACTCCCCACTGGCTCAACTGCCCTGGATTATTCGCACACTGTCACCTGCTGCGTGATCATCTTTCTCCCTGACTCCGTTCCCTTCACTGCTCCACATGAATCCCTGCAGGCACGAGCGCTTCACCACACAGTACCGAGCAGTCTTTGCAGTCAACTGTGCAGTGAACACGTCCCAAAAACTGGTGATGCCGTCAGGTAAAGACGGAGGCAGCAAGAAGCGAAAGGGCAGGGGGAAGAGTGGAGGGGCAAAGGAGCAGGGGAGCACTGGTGGGGGTGGCGTGGGAGGTGTGATTGGGGGAGAGGGGAGTGCAGGAGGTGAAGAGGAGGTGATGCATCCAGTGATGTGTGAGACGTGTGGGACAGAGGTTGGTGTGTTTGATGCAATGGAGCAAGTGTACCACTTCTTCAATGTCTTGCCAACCAATTGCTGAAACTTCCATGTTAGTGATTTGTCACAATGGGTCTGAGAATGCTTAGGCCAAAGGACAGGGCATACAGGAGCGGCTGGAACGGCGATAAGGCTTTGATGCAAACTATGCAAAGGAACAAATGCTTACTGAACAACGAGCCAAATTCATTCCATGACTGCTTTGAGGCAAAACAATTGAGGGTCTCCTCCAAGGCAACACCTTGCTTCAATGAGAAGAGTAGGTACATATGGTACACCTGAGCTGCACCTAGTAGCTTGGAATTTTATCTTTTGTATTGTCTGCTACTGCAAATGTTCTTTTAGGGAAAGCGAATTATGCCGTTTCAAAACACTCTGAAACGCTTATTTCTGGATTACCACTGGCTCGCGTGTTGTTGTATCCGGCACAACAACAATGGCTGCAAACCAGACCTGGTATTGAGGTGCGGAGCCGTACACCCTTGAACGTCAGTGCCAGACAAATTCCTTCAAAAACCTCCCTACCGTTTCGAGCCTCCGTCACAACTTTGCCCCTCCAAGTTCGGCCCGCAATCTGCCTGGTTTCGACTAGCCACGCAAATACGCTCGGTCCGAGCGAGAAACCAGCCTCCTCCTCATCATCCAGCGGGACTAGCGGCCCTCTAGCAAACACGCTCGGCTCACGTAAGGACCACACCACGCTCGTTCCGTTTAGGAACTGTACAGTACAGTATCAATACACCCTCTTTCTCGCCATTTGTGAATTCGGTTATAATGAAGTCAAGATGGGAAAAGCATGGTTCACGGTGGTTCATTTTTGTTTTAGTATGGTTCAATTAGGCAAATCGAAGATAACAAGGTTTTTGTTACGAGTGCAATTGAGTGAACGAACGAGAATTGCACTATCGAAGCAGGAGTACAAAATGAGCGAAGGCATGAGCGAAGGATTATATAGCGAAGCAATAGTGGTAACGGTAATGGACTGTGGTTGTCGCGCGACGAGCCTGGGACTGAGGTTGGGAAAGTGTCGAAGCGTAGGCCCGGAGCGCGAGTTACCAGCCGAGCCGTGAGGTCGGGATGCGATGTGCGAAAAGGGCGGGATGATGAATGATGCGATGGTCGCGAGTGGTAACGGTGCTGACTGAGGTGCTACAGTGATGTACGCGTTGAGCAGGGACGCGAAGTAAGGGAAAGGGAATTTCCTTACACTACCCCCCTCCCCAAGGAGGCCCCTCTTACGAGAGCGCATGGACGTCGCGGAAATTTCGGCTTCGCAGATACTCGGTGAAGACAGGGTGGTTCTCAATTTTATCCAGGGGGACCCAGTTGTCTTCTGTGGGCGTTCGATCCTTCCAGCGAATTAGGAATTCGATCCGTCGTGCTCCCCGAGGGTTGCGGACTCGGTGGCTGAGGATTTTTTCAGGGGTGATTAGTGGTTCGGTTGGGGGACGTGTCATGCTGGCTGGGCGATTTCGTGGCAGTTGGCTCGTGGATGGTATGTAAGGGCGAAGTAGGCTGACGTGGAATGACGGGCTGACGTACCAGTCAGCAGGGAGGAGGAGGTGGGCGGTGACGGGTGTGATCATGTGGCTGATGCGAAATGGCCCACAATATCGGGGGCGAAGTTTTGGAGTGATGGGCAGGCGGAGGTTCTGGGTATCGAGTAGTACCAGGTCGTCTGGCTGGTAAGTGACAGGTCGACGGTGGCGATCGGCGTTTCGTTTAGCGATGATGTTGGCTTTTTTAATTGCGTCTGCTGCCCTGGTTCGTGCTGCTTGCAAAATCTCGGCGAACTGTTGGGCTCGTGGGACTGGATTGTCGGGGTGTGGGGTCATGGGTACTGTTGGGTCCTGTCCGTAGTTCAGGTAAAACGGGGACTGTTGCGTCGTGGCTGATGGTGCGTTGTTGTACGCGAACTCGATGAGCGGCAGCTGATGTTCCCACGTGTTCGGATCGTCGCACGTGGCTCGAATCAGCTGCTCCATGGTTTGGTTTGTCCGTTCCGTCTGTCCGTCGGTTTCGGGGTGATAGGATGAACTGAATTGAAGTCGTGTGCCGAACTGCTGCCACAGGTTCCGCCAGAAGTTGCTGGTGAATTTCGTGTCGCGGTCGCTGATGATTGCCGATGGTATCCCGTGGAGGCGAACGACGGTGGTGATGAAGAGGCGGGCTGTTTCTTCGGCTATGATTGATTTCTTGCATGCTGCGAAATGTGCCATCTTCGTCAGTCGATCGACGGCGACCAAGATCGCGTCGTTCCCACTCGCCCCGGCCGGTAACCCCGTGACGAAGTCCATCGTCACCTGCTGCCAAGCACGCTCTGGGGGTGGGATCGGCTGCAACTGTCCTGCCGGCCGCTTCCGTGATGATTTCATGACCTGGCAGGTGGGACACGATGCTACGTGTCGTTGGATGTCGGTCAACATTTCTGGCCAGTAATAATATCGCTGCAGCTGCTGTCGTGTTTTTTCTACCCCGAAATGTCCTGAGGTAACTCCGTCGTGTGCCTCTTGTAACAGTAACTCCCGTAGTAGTGTATACCCGGGTACCCAAATGCGGTCGGTCCCAACCTTTACGTAATAGATCCCTCGTGCTGCTGCGAACTGCTGCGAGTTGCCTCCTGTAAAGAACGGGTCGGTTTGGTATCCGTGGGTAAATAGGCCTGTCAGCAGTGGGCTGGTCTGGGCGAGTAGTATCGCGTGAATCTGGGCAGTAGGGCGAGTCAGTGCATCGGCGATATTTGATGCTCCTTTTTTGTAGGTGACCGTTGTAGTGAAAATTCGACTCGAGGAAATCGAGCCATCGAATCTGTCGTGGGTTGAGGTGAGGCTGTGCGCGGAGGTACTGTAGAGATTTGTGGTCTGTCCGTACTGTCACGTCTGCGCCGGTCAAGTAACAGCGCCACACTTTGAACGCATGCACGATCGCAAGCATTTCGCGATCGTGTATCGGGTAATTCTTCTCAGGTGGGTGCAGTTTTCGTGATTCGTATGCGATGGGCTGTAGGCCGTTCCCGAAATCCTGTAACAGTACGGCTCCGATGGCGATGTCGCTTGCGTCAGTAATGACTTCGAATGGGCGGTGTGGGTCGGCAATGCGCAGGACAGGTGGTGAACAGAGAACAGTTTTCAGGGTAGAGAAGGCAGCATGCTCTTTCTCCCCCCACGTAAAAGCGACCCCTTTCCGCAGCAGATCCGTCAGTGGGGCAGTTAAGCGGGCCATGTCAGGCACGAATCGACGGACATAATTAACGAAACCCAAAAAACTCTGCAGCTCCGTGATGTTTGTCGGGGGTCGCCAAGCGTTGACCGTATCCAGCTTCTTCGGGTCAATCTCAACCCCAGCCTCTGAAATAACGTGCCCCAAAAATTCTAACCTATCCCGAAAAAACTCGCACTTAGACCCCTTAGTCAATAAACGATGCTCCTCGAGAATTTTAAACACTGCTTCCAGGTCCGCTAAATGCTGCTGCTTATCGCGACTGTAGACGAGAATGTCGTCGAGATAGACGATCACGCACTTATCTAAAAGTGGTCTAAACGCCTCGTTCATGGTCATCTGGAATGTTGCGGGTGCGTTGGTTAGCCCGAAAGGCATCACGGTGTACTCGAACGACCCGTACCTAGTTCTAAAAGCTGTCTTGGCGCAGTCCGATGGTTCGACTCTAATTTGGTGGTAACCTCCCCGTAGATCTATTTTCGAGAACACCCGTGCTGTTCGCAGTTGGTCGATCAGTTCGTCGGCGCGGGGAATGGGGTATCGTGACTTTATTGTAACCCTGTTGAGCGCTCGGTAATCGATGCACATGCGAAAACCTCCGTCTTTTTTTTGGTGTGAATAGTATCGGTGCGGCGAACGGCGACGAGCTCGGTCGGATAAACTGCTTTGCTAACAGGTAATCTAACTGCTTCCTCAGTTCGTCTAGCTCCGGCTGTGTCAGTCTGAACTGGCGCTGTACAGTTGGCTGTGCCCCCGGCTCTAACTCTATCCTATGGTCGTGCGCCCGCTGAGGTGGCAGTCCTTCCGGTAAGTCGTCGGGGAAAATTCCCGGGTACCGTTTCAATAGCTCTTGTAGCTCCGGCGGTACCGCTGTCAGCAATTTCTGGAAATCACTCGGCTGCTCATCTTTTTCTACCACTGCGATGTCTACTGCATACACGTCAGCTCCAGCGGCGACTGCTCGTTTCATTGTGATGGCGTTGACGTGGACCGTCGATGACTCAGGCGACTGCCAGCGTGGTAGTTCGACCCAGTTACCACTACTTCGCACAGTGCAGCTGCCCGTCGTCCAGTCGATTCTCGGATTGTAACGTCGCAACCAATCACGTCCCAATAAAATGTCGTGCCCATCCAGTGTCGTCGCGAGCATTTCCTGTGTAAACCCGAAGTTTCCCCCGCAGCGAACTTTTACTCTCTCCACCCTCTCCCGTATGGCCAGCGGCGTGCCGTCGACTAAGCGCGCATCAATCTCAGGTAAACATCGGCTAAGTGTCAGTTGAAGTTTTCGTGCGGTTGCGGTATTAACTAAACTGTGGCTAGCTCCTCCGTCGATGAAAATCTTGACTGCTGCTCCCTGTATTTTCCCGTGGATCAGTACTGGGCAATCCGTCGCTGTACCCTCCTTATTCATCCGAGCCCGATCGATGGCGTGAATCGGTACTGTGACTCGGTGAGGGTCGGTGTGGTTGGGCGAGCAAGCAGTCTCGTCAGTAGTTGGCCCAATTTCTACTGACTGCTGGCGTTTCCCTGCCTCTGAGACTCCCTCCCCTGCTCTGCTCCTCGACGCCTCAGCTCTTCTGGACATTCGCTCTTGCGATGGCCCGGCCGGTTGCAAGCAAAGCAGCGCCCTCTAAATGGCGTGGCAGCTGCATTCGTTGCGACGGCATGTACAGTGGCGTGCTCGATCAGTCCCCGAGGACGATGTCCGAAATAGGACCCCGGTCTCGGTCGGCGTAGGATATCGATTTTCTCGGCGAGCGCGAGGATTTCGTTGAAATTCGATAGCCCGCGTAGCATTATCTCGTGCGATATGTCCGGCTTCAGTCCGCCGACGTAACGGTCCACCCGCTCCGCCTCGTGCATGTAGCCGACCTGTTCGCAAAGTGCGAGAAAACCGCTGGTGTAGTCTTGGACCGACCCGAGCTGGCGCCAAGTGCGCAGTTTCTGACGCGCCGAAATAGAAGCCGCGATCGGCTCAAAACGCGCCCGAAGCCCTGCGCACCACGCATCCCACGTGCTATATTGGGCTGTTTCGCAGAACGAACTCCAGGTGACAGCTGGACCCGAGGGCCCTTCCTCGTGCGGCGGTGGCTCGTAGGCACGTGGCGATGTCACGATGACTCGCCACCAGTCCATGGCGGGGCCCCTGAGTAGTGAAACTGCATACCGAATCTTGGCGGCGTCCGACTCGACGTAGTTGGCGTCGAAAAACACGTTCATCGTGAAGACCCACGATTGAACTGTCGGGCCACCGCGTTGGCTTGGGTCGAAGCAGGGCGGGCGTTGCGGCTTGAGTGGCATTGGGGCCATCGTGGCGTTCCCTCCACTTGTCATCGCAAACTCCACGTGCCGACGGGCTTCTCGGGGCTCCCGTGGGCTTGATGCATTCCTGTTCCCTCCCATGCCGGGCATCGGTTGGGCTGCGCCGTCACTGGCTGCGCCTGAGCGCTGTCCCGTGCTGTTGTTTTGCGTTGGTGTGCCGGATGAGATAACAATCGGCTCCTCCGAATGGACATAAACATTGGTTGGCGCTTGGGAAGTTGTCGGAGCGTTCACCGTTGACTGTTGACGGGCGGAGTCACGTTCCGCCGTGAGCGTCGCGATTTCGAGCGCTGATTCCTCCAGCTGTCGCACGAGACGATCGAGTTGCTCCTGCGTCAACGTGGCGATAGTGAAATCAGCCATGGCAGGGGTGTCGGGCAAGCTCAGCGAGAGCCTCAGTCGTGGCCGTGCGTGCTTCCGAGAGAGCACTACGAGCGGCGGTGCTGTATCGCTGAGAGACGTCTACCCCCCCCAAAAATTGAGATAGTGGGAAGCGAAGGTGTGGATGCGGTCCGAGATGAGATCGTAGGCTCTGAATACCAAGTGTTACGAGTGCAATTGAGTGAACGAACGAGAATTGCACTATCGAAGCAGGAGTACAAAATGAGCGAAGGCATGAGCGAAGGATTATATAGCGAAGCAATAGTGGTAACGGTAATGGACTGTGGTTGTCGCGCGACGAGCCTGGGACTGAGGTTGGGAAAGTGTCGAAGCGTAGGCCCGGAGCGCGGGTTACCAGCCGAGCCGTGAGGTCGGGATGCGATGTGCGAAAAGGGCGGGATGATGAATGATGCGATGGTCGCGAGTGGTAACGGTGCTGACTGAGGTGCTACAGTGATGTACGCGTTGAGCAGGGACGCGAAGTAAGGGAAAGGGAATTTCCTTACAGTTTTGCACCTGTTCGGCACAGTTCAGTGTAGCGAGAAACAGGGTGTAGACTTGTTCCCCCCGTTCCCCAGCCTAGCCTGGATCCCTCGTCTTGGTTGACTAGCCGCGTCTATCACGCCACGCACATCCGCCTCAATGAAGTTCGCGCAAACGAGTCCCGACATCGTCGGGGCTAGAATCTCAATCTCCGTGCTCCTCCTACCCACTGCGATGGCGTCAAGGCGAGACGGGCCGGTGTATAGATGGCGTATAAAGAATAGACGCGCATAACGTCTAGGCATGAAACAGGTCGTCCAAACTCGTACATCGTATTACTAGCACTTGCGCGATTTCCTGGTTTTGCCCGTGAAGCTGTGACAGCAGTCAGCAGTCACTCCGGAGGGACGTGCGCGACGTTTCGCACTGCGTAGAAGAGTCCACCACGAGGAGATGAACCTATTCCATGCTCTCCGCTCCGTAATAGCCGTTCTGAGAGGCCGACGACCGTTCGAAGGCCAGGAGGCTATGGAGGCCGACCTATTCGAGGCAATCCCGCTCGCCATCTCCTACCCCCCGGAAGGCCGAGTCAACTTTCCAGGGAACCGCACCACCTCAACCAACCGTCCCTTCGGTGAAGAAGGGCCGACATTTGTTCCTGATCAAGCCGCTGGGACTTACCCTCCGAATGTCGAGGCGCGGGATTTTCAAACTGAAGCCGGCAGCAGCGCCGGCCATTTTCGCCGGCGGCCGGTTGTCTGGCCGGTGTGCTCGGGACCGAGTACGAAGCCGACGGTGATCACTTTCAGAAATGCGACCGACACTGCTGTGCAACCGTACTGGGTCGACTACGACGGAAAGGAGGTCCGTTTCAGTCCGTTTTTCTTTCGTTAATCCATACGCGCGGTTCGTGCGGCGCACCATACGCTTTCGCGCGTCCGACGCGGCGTTGTTACCCATATGATTCATAAACGCCCATATTTCTTCCTCCATGCATTCCGTTTCTCCCGTCGCATTGCCTTTGCTTTCGCCGCGCAGGTTCCGTACGAGTGTTTACAGCCGGGCCGCGTGTACAGGCAGCGGTCGTTCGTGCAGCACCCGTGGGTGTTTCGCGACATGGCGACGAACGAGCCATTCGTCGTCGGCAAGAGAGCTGTACGAAACAAGTTTCCCCGGAACAGTACTTCATTTCATTCGTCTAGACCTGTGCTCGCTAATATTAAGTTTTCCACTCGTTCTTCGTAATCGCCGCATTTTTCATAGAAATTAAATGTCCGAAATTCACCTATATTGTCCTCCCTTCCCACCTCCCTCCTGCGAACGCGGTATAACTTAGTTCTTTAAGCGTCCTCCACTATATTCCACTTTCGGGTTTGCCACAGTTGGCTTTTCCGCAGGATTCGTCACGGAGCGAGATGATTATCAAGCGCCCAGAGCTGCTTCCGTGGACAACGGCATCGCACTACCGGTTCCCGATTGAATTCAGAGGGTTCGTGGCTAAGTTGCTCCTCTGCTGCAACAGATTAACGAAGCAGCAGCACGCGCAGGTGAGACGAGACGACCGGATGTGACGCCAGCTTACGGCACAATAAGCTGATTTTGTACTACATAGCACTCCCAGTCCTCGTAACCCATATCATTATGCGATCCAATGGGCTCAACATTTCACGGTGCATGTGCTAACAAACTTATCCATTCTCTCGCAGGGTCTGCCTGTCAGGCACAAACGGGCTCAAGCTTCTCCCCTACTGGGAGTGCTCCTTGCGGGATTGCCATCGGATGTGCTGCTTGTGATTATAGCGAAAACTGCGCCAGACCAACCAGACATCGAGGGCGTGTGGTGCTACTAGAACCGTTCCTCGTTGCGAGGCTGTGAGCCCGTAACCGTCTAGTTGTCCCTAACTGTAGCTAACATATTTCTAACTTATGCAGTCCTAGGCAAGGTGTGGTACCTAAGTTGCTTGATGCACTTCCATAGATTGCTCATTGCTTAATGGATGCATGATTCTAGTGTATAGCCATGGTCAGGTATTGATGTTCCGTTCCATTTATTCGACTACCGGTAGTAGTTCACTACAGCATCAATTGCCGTACCATATTTCAAAGGAACAAAATATATGGTAACTCAAGCAGCACTCGAGTTGAATATTATCTGTAGTCCATGCTTCACAGAGCTCTCTTCTAAATTCATACAAAGGGGCCAGCAGTAATTCACCTCAACCCTCCCGAACGATGTAGGACACACCAATCCTACTCCAGCAGAACACTGGATACCCTCTATAAGCTGCCTTACAAAATTCAAAGCAACCCCCCTCGACCGCGTTTTGACAAATTCAATCGGCTGTTTCCCTCCCACCCATCCCTTATCCTCTCCTCGCACACTCACACTCCCGTCTCCTCTGAGGCCTCCACCCCCCATCACCCCTCTCCACATCCCACCACTTGCCCAACCTCTTCCACCTCCGCCCATGGTCCTCCCAAACCCCACCCCATTCCCCATTCCAATTTGACCAGATAGCAGCGTCAGGGGTTCAACTCTGCTGCTGCTGCTGCCGCCACTGCTGCTGCAACTGCTGCTGCTGGTGCTATTGGTGGCGGTGGTAACAAACGCGTGCGCATGCAGGGAGGGCAGGTTCAATGGGCGGAGCAGCGGGTGAGAGGCGAGCGGGAGGAGGAGATTCCGGAGGGGTGAGGGCAGGTCGAAGGAGAGAGTGGTGGTGGCGGATGCTGTTAGACTGGGTGATGATGCAGGTGACGTGGAAAACGCAGGTGATGCTGAGGAAGAGGAGGAGGGAGGTGAGCAGAGAGAGGGATCGAACAAGGCGGAAAATCCCGGCGAGTGGGAGGAGACGAGGGCAAATGGCAGGGAGAGGGAGAAGCAGGAGCCTAGGCGGAGAGAGGTATGGAGAGATGCAGAGGCAGCGGGGAGGGGAAGGGAAGCAGCAAGCACAGCATCGTGCTTCACCAGCCCACCAATGCCTTTCTGCAGGTCTAGAAGCTCCACTGTGCAGCTACCAGCCAGCTTTGGGACTACTCTCATCCTGCTGTCTCTCCCACTGCTGCATTTCCCACTGCTGGAATTTTGCTTGCTGTTGTCCCTGCTGGTGTTCCGAGTGCTCCCAGTGTTCTGTGTACTCCAGTCCCAACGGTAGCGCAGCCCAAGAAAGGGGCTGCTGCTGCACTCTTCTTTCTCCCTGCCGCTGCTGCTGCAACTGTCCCTGTCTGTACCGCTGCTGCTGTCGTTGTCACTGCTGCCTGTGCTGCTGCGATCAGAGGCGCTGCAGCAGCTGGAAGCAGATAACCGTGATGCTGCTTCAGAGGCTGAAGCAGCTGAAGGGATTTTCCCGGGTTTGTTAACCTTAGTAGGAAGAAGGGCGAGGAGGAGGTGGAGGGAGTGATGGGAGAGGAAGGAGGGCGAGGAGGGAGGGGAGAGGGAGGGAGGAGGGGAAGGGGGAGGCGGGGGGAGGAGAGGGATGGAGTAGAGTTGGCGGAGAGAGGGGAGAGGGATGGAGGAGCGGAGGGAGTGGAGTAGAGAGGGGATGGTGGCAATTGTTGAGGGGAGGGAGGAGGGGCTGGAAGAGGAGAGGGAGGAGGGGAGTAAAGGGGGAGAGAGGAGGTTGGGGCAAAGGGGATCGGAGAGGGGAGAGGGGAGAGGGTGGTTGAGATGGTGTATGAGGGAGAGGTGTGAGAGGAGGGAGGAGGCGATGGCGATGAGAGTGGATAGCGGAAGGTGGGAGAGATAGGGAGCGGACACGCAGGTGTGGGCATCCGTGTGAGGTGATGACCGCGCTTCCCTCTGTGGGACGGGGAGGGGGGACGCGGTAACATGAGCGAAGGGGGTAGATGTAGGAAGGTAGGGAGAGATGGGACAACCATCAGCCGAAGGAGAGGGAAGCAAGAGGCGACAGAGGATATTCACACGTGCGGGGAGACTTGAGGAGACTTGAGGAGACTTGAGGAGACTTGAGAGCGTGCTCGCAATGAACAACAGAATGACTGGAACCTCCAAAGATCGAACCCAAGATCCGCGAAGCTGTACCACCCTCTAGCCAATCTTCCCCAACACCCTCAATAAGCTCCCATTCTGGCGTTCTTTGAAGAGCACTCACCAAATCAAGGTACGACTTCAGCCTGTCCTCAACATCTCGCATTGCCGCTCCTCTTTCTGCCGCGCCATCTGCGCCTGCCCCTGCTCTCGCCCCTGTCCCTGCCTCTGCCTCTGCGCCCCCTTCCCGCCCTAACCCCTTGTCAACACCGGCTGGCATCCCGGACGGCTGTGATTCCCCATCCGGCGGATTCGACGGCCCTGATCGCCCTGGATCCGCAAAGATCCGCGCAGCGTCCCCCTGCGCGCCACGATCCCCCGCTGTCGTGCAGACTTGCTGGTGTAAATCGATCCGCGGGCAGGCTGCCGCGGGGGAGCCGCCATTGCATACACACAGGTTGCTGCCGCCGCTGCCCACACTGCCGCCTATGCCGCCGCCGCCGCCAATTCCGATGCCGATTTTGGCGCCGACGCCGACGCTGGAGCCAAATCCCCTTAGCTCAACCGTCTCCTCGCGAATTTCGCGAAACGTCGCCGCCACCTTCGCGACGTCTGGTAACAATGCGACTGGATCGCGACGACGGCGGCGGTGGCTGTGGTGCTGGCGGCGGCGCCGACGTGATCTCAAGACAAAGAGACGATTCGTGGCCAGGATTACCGGAAAGAACCCAAGTGCTCTGAAATTAGCAGTGGTAGTGGTAGCGGTATTAAGATGCTGCTGGTGTGTGAAATCAGCTGCACGCGCAGGTTGCCGCGTCAGCGTGTATCGCGGATGTTGGCCCGCACCGACAAGTTCGTGTCGGGCAGCAGGATGGAAAACGATCTCTATATCCGATATATTGCCAGGTCGGATGGAGTCCATGTCGCCTGGTTCTCGTTGTTCCTGACCCGCCGTTTCACTTTCGCCACCCATCTCAATCACTGGAAATCATAAGCTCCTTGACGGCCTGTTCTCCTTATGCTACCATACGACTGGCGACGTCGCTTCTTGAGGAATGCTAGGAAATTCGGAGGAACGCAAATATGGAAATCCACGCCAAATTCTCAAAACTGGGAGCTCCTAGTTTCGGGAGCAAATTCTGCTGGATGGAGGGCGTGCCCCAAAGTTCGTCGGAATGCGGCTCAGAAAGATGCTATCCGTTCTACAGTGGCATTGTGGGGTTTGAATTTGTTCAGTAGGCTTTGGAGCAAACTTGAATACGCGTCGCGCGTTACCGATTCCCGAGGCAGCTGGAAGGTACGGAAGCTGGTCTGGGCAAAAGCGCCGTTTCTGTGCCCTGCCTGGTTGGCATGGCTGACGCACTACTGCCGCCGAACCGAGCCTGTGGTGTGTCACATTTCTCCCCGTGAGGAAGCCAACAGCGGGGCAGTACTGATGAAGTGCCCCAAGGGAAAGATCTGATTGGGCCGAAAGGCCCTGTACACGTGGCAGCCGTTGAACACCATCCTGCTCACACGGACAGGTCTGCAGCCATTACCAACCGGCCATTTTCAGGTGCATGCCACTTAGTCGAGGCGCGCTATTCCGGTGCATGCCAGGTTGGGTACACTATTATCAGGTTAAACAATGTCTCTTGTAACTTTAAAAGATTTTCAAGATTCCATTCAAATTGGCATTAAAGGTCTGAAATAGTTTCGATTTCGGGCTACGCAAATCGGAATCGGAATGGTTGGCTCTCGATGCTGCATTTTCTGACGTCACTCAGTGCAATGATTGCTTTTCCGCCCAATTTCTGCGCAAAACTTTGCTTCGCACCAACTCTTTTTGAACGAATTGTAATGCTAAATCGTGTGTACTATTGGCGCAGGTGGCGGACGCTTCGCGGGTCAAATCAGCAAACCCTAGTGGGACGTGCGTTACTTGGAAAGGGTAATACGAAACACGAGAAACATGCCCGAGTGTTAGAGGGAGTTAACCCTACCGTTATTAAGGATATATCATACGTTACATGTGTATTTAATGACACGTAATTAACGCCATGGTATACCACTTGTTTCAATATACATGTACGGCAAAACATTAATTTTGGTAGAGGAAAAAAATACAAACACTGACGAAGGGTTTGCTGATTTGCCATGCGCAGCGACCGTCATCTGCGTAAACAGTACAACAGATCTAGCATTAGATTTGTTCAAGAAGTGTTGGTGCAAAGCAGAAATTCGCGTAGAAATTGGGCAGAAATGCAATCATTGCACTGAGTGACGTCAGAAAATGCAGCATCGAGAGCCAACAATTCCGATTCCAATTTGCGTAGCCCGAAATTGCATCTATTTCTGACCTTTAGTGCCAATTTGAATCGAATCTTGAAAAGTGTGTGCATTTATGAGAGACATTGTTTAACCTGATAATAGTGTAAGCAACTTGGCATGCACTTGAATAGCGCGCCTCGGCTAAGTGGCATGCACCTGAAAATGGCCGATTACCAACAATTGCCCACAAGGCATGCCAGTTCAGCACCACTTATATCTGCCAGCGTGGAGAGGAGAAGCTGCACTGATTCGCCTGCAACCCTGGACATAAAACAAAGAGGAAATATACTTCTGGTCCTTCTGTACACTTACCTTCTGTAAACAAAAACCGGAAAAGTAAAAACATGACAGCATTTGAAGGTTAATCATTGATGTGACTAAATTACTATACTCAATGCTTTTTATAGAAAATTAATGAAATATTAAATTATATAATCGAATGATTTCTGGATTATATATTGTAGCTGTAAAGTAGGTTTAGAACTCATAAGGTTATAATAGTGCGAAAAGAAAATGCAAAAGAAACAACAGCAGCTGGCAAACTTCGCACAAAACATGTCGCGTATAGTGTATGGGAAGTTCTCGATGCTTCTGCTAGCACTCCAACCCTCGCATTTGCATTCCCAGATCGAATGTCTTTCACCAGTACCTGTTCCTAACTCGCGCGTTGACTTTCCCGTTCTGTCCTGTCCCAAACTACCATCTGTAGCGGCATCCCTCCCTGTTTTTTACCGTCAAACTTTCTGTTGCTCGTTTCTAGGTTTTTCTCCCATCGTTCCGGCCGCGATTCTTCTCGTCCCCATCCTTCCGCCGCGGCCAGTCGACCGTCACTCCCTTTCAACCCGGAGCGCCATGGCGGATCCGTGGCGCGCGATACTGCACGTCGCCGCCGTGCTGTGCGCGCTGCACGTGGCAGCGGCGCAGTTCGAGGCGCCGGAGTTTAACATCGCGGTGCGCAAGGCGGACATCCCCTTTATAAAGTGCGACGTGTGTCGCAAGATGGCGGAGCAGCTGGACCAACAGGTGGAACGCGAGAGAGAGAAGGCGGAGCCCAAGAAGGTGCGCGTTTGGGGGGGGGGAAGAGGGGGCGAGGGGAAGGGGGAGGGGGCGGGCGGGAGCAGGTGGAGCGCGAGAGGGAGAAGGCGGAGCCCAAGAAGGTGCGCGCGACGGGGGAGGCGGTCGTGAAGGTTGGATAGTGAAAAGGGCAGCTTTATTTCTAGTCTACTCAGAAAAACACACCGTTCTTTAGCCGAATTAAAACAGCCGAACGGGGATGGCGGACGGGGAGGGCGGAGGGCGTGGAGGAAGGAGAGAGGGTAGGAAATAGACGGGGGGGAAGTGGGGAGAGGGGGTAGAGTGGGGAGTGCGGGATATCGCGTCTTTGCATTGCGACGATGTGACGGGCGGTAGGGCATGCGACAACGAGTATAGCAAGAGGCGAGACGAGACGAGACGGATTAAGGCGGGAAGCCGTAATTTACCCTCGACAGCGCCCCAGGGCGAGGGTATGCATCTGTATCCCCTCTGTCTGCCGTATCACGTCATCCCCCTCCCCCTTCCATATCCCCCTCCCCTTCCCCCTCCCCCTCCCCCTCCCCCTCCCCTTACCCCTCTGCCCCCCCCCCCTCCCGTTCCCCTTTCCCCGCAACCCCCCGCGCGCGCAGGTGAGCGAGCTGAAGGTGATAGAGGTGGCGGAGAAGCTGTGCGACGCCGAGTTCCAGCATCTCTATCCCTCTCCCCCCCCCTCCTCTCCCCCTCCCGCCCTCTCCCCCACACCCACACCTCCCGGCGGCAGGTGAGCGAGCTGAAGGTGATAGAGGTGGCGGAGAAGCTGTGCGACACCAAGAGCGCCAACGGCGGGTGGATCTCGCGCCTCGACATCGTGGAGAGCGGCGACCTGCTCAAGGTGCGCTATGCTGGGTGGGCCTGTGTGGGCCCGTGTGCATGTGCGTGCACATGTTTGAGTGGGTGGGTGGGTGTGCGTGCTGTTTAAGGCTCGACATCGTGGAGAGCGGCGACCTGCTCAAGGTGCGCTGCGCTGGGTGTGGGTGGGTGGGTGGGTGGGTGCGTGGTGGTGTGCATGGCGTGTGTGCCACGTTCGTGGAGAGCGGCCACCTGCTCAAGGTGCGCTGCCCGTGTGTGAGTGGCTGGGGGTGTGTGGGTGTGGATGTGTGGGTGGATGTAGTTTATGCTATGCACTCTTCCATCCCCTCTCTAAAATTCATGCCCGGTTCCATTTCACCCTTCTCCCTGCCCCTGTCCCCTCCTTTCCCCCCATATCCCCACTCTCTGTCCCCGCCCCATTCCCCCCCCCTGTCCTGCCCATCTCCCCCTGTCCGTCCAATCCCCCCCTTTCCCTCCCCCCAACGGCATGTGAGCGCAGCTGATAGAGCACGAGGAGGATGGAGAGTGTCTGTCGGAGTGCAAGACCATTCAACGCGCTTGCCAGGACGTGAGCCTCTTTGCCTTGCCCTGCCCTGCCTTGCCTTTCCCTCCCTCGCCCCTGCCTGCCCTGCCCTCCATCGCCCTCTTTATCCCTGCCTCGCCCTTCCCTTCCTTGCCTTTCCTTTTTTCTTTCCTTCAACGTACTGTGAAAGACAAGTGTTTCTCTGCGACCTTGCTGCTCGAAGCTCTCCACTCAATTCCTCCCTTCCATACACCCAACCCATCCCATCTCCCCTCCCCATTCCTCATTTCCCCGTCCTTCTTCACCTCCTCTCCTCCGTGCACTTCTTTCTCTAACCTCCCGCGCCCCCCCAAAATCCCCCTCTCCCCCTCTCCCCCTCTCCCCCTCGTTGAACGCCCCTCTCACCACATTCCTCACCAATCCCCTCATATCCTAACCACACCCCTTCCCCCTCTCTCCCCCGCCCTCACCCCCCATGTGCAGATCATGGGGGAGCATGACACGGACATAGCAGAGAGGATGCGATGAGCCCTTGTCTCCCTCCTCATCCCCACACTTCCTTCCACTCTCTCTCCACGTCCGCAGATCATGGGGGAGCATGACACGGACATAGCAGAGAGGATATACAGCGATGAGCCCTCGCAGTCCTCCCTGCAGCGCTACCTCTGCCACGACCTCAGCAAGGCCTGCGCCTCCAAGCCGCCGCCCGTGCCGCAGGTGAGAGGGGCCCGTCCCGTCCGTGTGAGTAGAGGCAACTCGTATCAGCCCCCAAGGGCCCTCGCACTCCTCACCTCACCTCTCTGCAGCGCTACCTTTGCCACCACCTCAGCAAGGCTTGCTTGCGCGCCTGCGCCTCCAAGCCGCCGTCTGTGCCGCAGGTGAGAGCTTCGCCCTTCACCCCCCTTCAATCCGCGTGTAGTGAGTCGTGTAATGAGTTGTTGCGTGGTTGGATATTCCTGATTCTCTGCAAGGGGCCTTTTCAGGCTTGTGTGCAAGGCACATGGAGCGGAACTCTAGCAATCCCTTGATGATTTCCTTCTTACCTCCCATCATACCTCCCTTTCTCCTTCTCCTCTCTCTCGCTTCCTATATAATTTGTCTCCCACGCCTGCTCTTCTCTGATCTTCCCTGCTCTGCTTTCCTGTGCTGTGCCGTGCCGCGCCCTGCCCTGCCATGCTATGTGCTGCTCTGCTCTGCTCTGTTGCCTTATGGTGCGTTGTGGGTCACACAGGACCGCAAACCGGGGGAGAACTGGCAGAAGAAGGACAACAGCCCGCCGGACTACAAAGTGACTCTTGAGTCGACTCTAAAGTCACCCCGTGCTGCTCTGCTCTGCTCTCCTCTGTTGCGGTGTGTTGTGCGTTGTGGGTCACACAGGACCGAGAGCCCGGGGAGAACTGGCAGAAGAAGGATAACAGCCCGCCGGACTACAGCAAGATGGCCAAGGAGATGAACATCCCCACCAGCGTCATGCACGATGAGGTGCGTGGTATGGCCAGGCATAGCCCAGCACCGCATAGTACCGCACAGTACACATGCGCTGCACACATGCACACACGCACTGCACTGCACACATGCACTGCACACATGCACTGCACACATGCACTGCACACATGCACGCAGCTCCTCGGACTACAGCTCGATGGCTGAGGAAAAGAACATCCCCGCCAGAGTCATGCACGATGAGGTGCGCAGCACAGCGCACATGCATGAACGAGGAGGCATTCGCAGGCGCCGATGAGACACGTGGTGTTGGTGGTGCCTTTCAAAAGGGCGGTCGGCCAGCAGCTATGTGCCCACCGCGCATCACCACTATGCTTACCGTGTCCCACCGTGTCCCACTGTGTCCCACCTTGCCTCACCATGCCCTCCCACCATCCTGGAATGCGTTATACGGTATACCTACATCGCCATTCACTCTCCCGGTCTTTTCCACGTTCGTCTCCTCGTGAATGCCATAGCAGCCTGCTTCTTGCTCCCACTCAACTGCATCCTCCTTTCCCTCAACTGCATCCTCCTTTCCCTCAACTGCATCCTCCTTTCCCTCAACTGCATCCTCCTTTCCCTCAACTGCATCCTCCTTTCCCTCAACTGCATCCTCCTTTCCCTCAACTGCATCCTCCTTTCCCTCAACTGCATCCTCCTTTCCCTCAACTGTATCCTCCTTTCCCTCAACTGCATCCTCCTTTCCCTCAACTGTATCCTCCTTTCCCTCAACTGCACACTCAACTGATTCCAGCTTCGCTTCTCTGCCGTCTCCCCCTCACCTCCAAGCCAGATCCCTTTGTCCCCCCATGTCCAACCCCATCGAACCTTCTTCTCCTCGCCTCTAAGGCCCCTCGTCGCCCAAACCAGACGCCATGTTCAAGTCAACACCCATCCTCCCCTCACTGCCACAGTTCCAAACCCCCTCATTCCCGCATAACCAACCAGCCCAACACCTGTCACCTGCCTTTCCCTCCCTCCACGTCCAACCCCCCCCCCCTGCGTGTTTCCCCGTGCACCTTTTGTTGCTTGTGTGTGTTACAACTCACACGCCATCAGGCGGCCATCAAGAGCATCAAGATGCCCACGGGCATGGGCATGCCTCAAGGGGCTGTTGTTTCTGAATCTCCTTTGCGTGTTTCCCCATGTGCTTCTGTTTGCTTGTCTCTGTGCTGCACCATCAGGCGGCCATCAAGAACATCAAGATGCCCAAGGGCATGGGCATGCCTGAAGAGGTATGCTCGCCCTGCTCTTCGCTCCATGCACCCATGCACCCATGCACCCATGCACCCATGCATCCATGCATCCATGCACCTCTGCACCCATGCACCCATGCACCCATGCACCCCTGCATCCATGCACCCCTGCAACCCTGCACCCATGCATCCATGCACCCCTGCCCCATGCACCCATGCACCCCTGCATCCATGCACCCATGCACCCCTGCACCCATGCACCCATGCACCCATGCACCCCTGCATCCATGCACCCCCGCACCCCTGCACCCATGCATCCATGCACCCCTGCACCCATGCATCCATGCACCCCTGCACCCATGCATCCATGCACCCCTGCACCCATGCATCCATGCACCCCTGCACCCATGCATCCATGCACCCATGCACCCATGCATCCATGCACCCCTGCACCCATGCATCCATGCACCCCTGCATCCATGCACCCCTGCACCCATGCACCCATGCACCCCTGCACCCATGCATCCATGCACCCCTGCACCCATGCATCCATGCACCCCTGCACCCATGCATCCATGCACCCCTGCACCCATGCATCCATGCACCCCTGCACCCATGCATCCATGCACCCCTGCATCCATGCACCCCTGCACCCATGCACCCATGCACCCCTGCATCCATGCACCCGCATTCGTGCGCTCACTCCATCTATCGCCGGCCCTCTCCCTCTTGCCATCCTATCCCTCCTGCCTCCCTTGCGGCGCACTTGTCACTTCACACTTAACAAGATACCATGAGCTCTCACTGCCCTGTAGCGCTCTCACTGCCCTGCGCAGCGCAGTATTCCATACCCTAAACAGTCGATTCAAAAGTTACCCTCCACATCCCACGGCCTTTACTCCATCAACCCAACAGGTATTTAAACGCCAGCAGGAGAAGCAAGCAGCCGAGGAGCCGAAAGCAGCAACCGGGGGCAAGAAGAAGAAGAAAGGGAGCAAGAAGGGCGGCAGCAGCAAGAGCAAGGAGGAGCAGATGGGGGAGGTGTATGCACAGGCGGAGGAGGCGGCCAAGGGGGGCCGGGAGGAGATTGTGAAGTTTGTTGAGAAGATGACCGGGAAGAAGGTGGAGGACAAGGAACCAGAGAGTGCTGGGTATGACGAGCTGTGATGGCGTGGGGGGAAAGGGGGAGGGAGGGAGGGCGGGGAAAAGCAAGAGCAGCAGCAGCAGCAGCAGTTGTGAAGTTTGTTGAGAAGATGACCGGCAAGAAGGTGGAAGACAAGGAACCTGAGAGTGCTGGGTATGACGAGCTGTGAGGGAGTGGGGGGGACGGGAAGGAGGGGAGGGGAGAAGGACAGAATGGGCGATTGGGTAAGGGACGGAGGGAGGGAGAGAGGGAGTGAGGAGGGAGGCAAAAGCAGCAGCAGCAGCAGCAGCAGCAGCATTAGCAGCAGCAGAGAGGAGGCAGCGAAGGGGGGCAGGGAAGAGATTGTGAAGTTTGTTGAGAAGATGACTGGGAAGAAGGTGCCTGAGGATAAGCCTGAGCCTGAGGGTGCTGGGTATGACGAGCTCTGATGGCATCAGGAGCAGAGAGGGGAGGGAGGTGGTGCTGGGGGAAGGAACGGAGGGATGGAATGAGGCAGAGCAGCGAGAATGGGGCAGGTGGGGATGGGGGTGTGAGGAGGAGAAGGTGATGGGTGTGTGTCGATGGGGATTCGGGAACATTGGATTGGTTGGTGGGAGTGAACTGTGGGATGTGATGTGAACTTGTGGTGTACTTATGGTGCACTTGTTGTGTGTCCTTAGGTATAACTGTGTGAGTGCCATGCCATGATTGGGTGCCGTGATGTGTAGGCCACCCTGAGCTTCAGATCAACACCACTGCTGTCGATCATTATAATGATGTGTCGGCATGAACCCTGTCAAACAATAAGAGATTTTATAGCTGTGACATCCGTACATGTAAAGGACGCCCGCAAGGTCAAACGATCCCAAAATGGTAGAGGGTTGGTGATCCAAACCTTGGGCAGAATTTTGAGACTTATGGGTACCGTAGGACCGCTCCTTAGTGGGCAGGACCAGCATCTTCAGTGTGGTGATACGGTAGTGAGCATCTGAGTGTGAGAGCACGGGAGCAAGGGCGGGAGAGTGGAGTTCCACCTTTTCACTCACTCACCTCCTCCTCTCTACCTTTTCCCTTTCTCCCAGCAGCACCCTGCCTGGACCACAGAGAAGTCTCTCCCTCCCCTAATCCCCCTTCTCTCTCCACTTCCCACACCCTCAGCATCATGACGCTCTGCACGGCTGTTGTAGGTACAGGTAAGGAGGCATGTGGGTGATGTGTGGGGCGGGTGGGTGGGGAGTATGGGAGCAAGCGGGGAGTTCACTGCCTCAGGGGCAGCATCATCTGGGGTTGTGCCTTGTGGGTGAGGTGCGTGCGACGGGTGGAATTCGCGCGGCAAAACACTTGGTGCTCAAGTAAGCGATCTGGCATTCAAGACCTAATGGACACCGCCAGAGCACCTGCGACTTTGGTTCGCGTCAGCTCTGGCTACGTCTGGGTTGAAATTTTGAGTACCGAGGGCTTTGGCTCTTTTGCTGGAAGCGCTTTTCCACTGCCATATTTCTCACAAGTCACAGCCTCAGATGGTGCTGTTTCCCTAAGGAAGTGGGCTGTCTGCTGCTCCTTCTGCTGGCAGGTAATGGGAGGGAAGGGGCTGAAACCCCTTGGGTGGGTGGGTGGAAGGGAATGGGCTGAAACCCCTTCGGTGGGTGCAGCAGTGGAGTGAGAGGGCGAAGAGAAGGGGGGCTGCAACCCCAGGTTGAGTTGTGTGAGGGGCAATGCCGGGGGCCTGAATCCCCCAGGGTAACAGGAGTGAGAGGGCGACGAGAAAGTGGGGCTGCAACCCCTGAGGTGGGTAAGTGAGTGGGGCAGGGGGGTGGGGGCTGGTGGTGTGCGTGAGAGGGTGATGGGGGTTGAAACTCCTAAGGTGTTAGTGAGCGGGAGGGAGAGAGAGAGAGATGGGGGCTGAAACCCCTAAGGTGTAATGAGTGGAAGGGAGAGGAGACAGGTGCTCAACCACCACCCCAGGTGCTCAACCACCACCCCAGGTGCTCAACCACCACCCCAGGTGCTCAACCACCACCCCAGGTGCTCAACCACCACCCCAGGTGCTCAACCACCACCCCAGGTGCTCAACCACCACCCCAGGTGCTCCAGATGAGCACAAGGCTAGGAGCGGCCAGAGCTAGGAACGAACGAAGGGCGTACGATGCCAGAAGAACCGAAACGGGTCGAGGAACGGCCGGAACGAGTAATGAACGGAGCCAGAATGGCTAGGCTAGGAGTATCCGAAACGAACAACGAGACGTGGCCTGAGGACTAGACAAGAAACCGGCTAAGAGGGTGACGAACGGGGCTAGAATGCCGAGTGTAGAACACTAGGAACAACTAGACTAGAAGCTTAGGATGTGACTGGCGAGGTAACTGCGGCTGCCAGCCGCTGTAAGGAGCTCCTATGGCAGGAGGCGTGTGGGAGAGGCAGCAGGTACGTGTGCAACTGCAGCTGCGGGTGCGATCGGTGCTGCTCGTGCAGTTGTTACTGCGCGAGCGGATGCTGTTGCGGGAGCGGGAGAAGCTGCGCGTGCGGCTGCTGCTGCGTGTGCGTCTGCTGCTGCGCGGCTGTGCACGTGCGGCAGCAGGGGCTCGCGGGGCTGCAGTGGCATGTGCGGTCGTTGCTGCTGCGCGCGTAGATGTGGCGGTGAGTGCGGCTGTGGCTGTGCGCGCAATTGCTGTTGCGCGGACGGCTGTTACTGTGCGGGCAGCAGAGCGCGAGCAGCGGCGTAAGACCGTCTGCGTGCGGGCGGCAACGCCTGCGCGGCTGCTGGCGCGTGGCTGTGCGTGCTGGCAGCGGCGCGCGCGAGGCTGCGTGCGTGTGTCAGCGCGTGCGCGGTTGCGCGCTGCTGGTTGTGCGTGGTACAGGACGGGCTCCGGAGCGGGACGGACGGGCGGGTCTGTGCGGGGCGGGCAGCGCAAGGCGGGCAGCGCGCAGGGCGGGTAGCGCGGGGCGGGCTGTGCGGAACGGGGCGGGTAGCGCGGGGCAGGCAGCGCGAGGTGGGCAGCGTGCAGGTACGGGGTGGGACGGGGCAGCACGCTATTAGCAGCTGGATACTACGTGCGGGGAGGGGCAGGGCGCGGCCCGCTAAGGACCGGGGCGGGGCGGGCTAAGCAAAGGAACGGGGCGGGGCGGGCTAGGCAAAGGAACGGGGCGGGGCGGGCTAAGCAAAGGAACGGGGCGGGGCGGGCTAAGCAAAGGAACAGGGCGGGGCGGGCTAAGCTAAGGAACGGGGCCGGGCGGGCTAGGTGTGGAACGTTACCTACTTCGGACTAGCAAAAGTTGGGTACAAATAGGTAACCCTAACGATGTTGTACTCCCAACAACACACCCCACTATAGTCTAGCACAATATATGCATAGTTTGACAATACCTCCTAACACAATCAAGCAGAACCACGTGTTTCTATGCGCTACTACTTCACTTTCTTTACCTTCCCACAGATCGCTGGAGTAGCTTTGTTACTATGATAAACCGACATGTAATCCCCTACGGCAACTGAACTCTGTATACTGCTTATGACAGAATCCAGAGTATCCGGGTCAAATTTGATTGTGTACTTGAAGCTGTAGAACTTGCCCGTGCTCTTGGGACTAGTGATGTTTTGCCAAGTCACTTGACCGCCGAGAGGGGTACTAAAGCAGGAAGAGGCTTGGGCTACGGAAAGGCCTGTTCCACCAGATTTGATGTTCATAATCTTGTATGTAGACTCTCCATGGATTAAACCTTTTGAGTTCTTGCCAACAGGACAAGATGGAGAGAGAGAGAGAGAGAGATGGTCATGAGGAGGACAGGGGTGCGAAGGGTGCGAAAACGGATACCGTATAAGCAGCAAATACGGACGCACCTCACGGCTTTCATGACGAATTTCCCCCATGCGTGCTTGTCGCCGACTACTTTTCCATTAAGCTTAGTAGGACGGAGCTTCCACACGTACTTAACTGGCAATTTGAGTGGCAGGGATATTGCATGGGAAGGACACGTGGAATGACAACGGGTGAGGAGGCAGTACTAGTACCACGGCTCGTAGCACAAATGAGGCGCCCCGGGCCGGCTCCCCAGAGGGAGTAAACCCCCTGAGGGTAGACCCCCTGAGGGTAGACCCCCTGAGGGTAGACCCTCTGAGGGTAGACCCTCTGAGGGTAGACCCTCCGAGGGTAGACCCCCTGAGAGAGTAGACCCCCTGGGTAGTGCCCCCCTGAGTAATCCCTGACTTTTTGGAAGGTGGCACCGTTTTCTGCAGCAGGACCACGCCGTAACGGCGGTGCAGCGAAGGCACAGGGTTGTGGACATTTACGCAGCAATTCCGTTTTTTTCGCCAAGGGCTTGAGGCTGCCCCCATCAGCTGCAGACGCCGCATCTGTCCATCGCGAAAAAAGACTTGCCAGAAAGCTGCGGGAAAGTTGCAAAAAGGATACTTTTTGGATACCTTGGTTTTGCAACTTTCCAGTGATGGTCAAATGTTGCAGAAATCCAAGTCACTGGAAAGTTGCTAAAAAGTTGCATTTCTGCAACATTTCTGCAACAAAACCGCGACATAGTGGACACTTGTTGTGAGAGTACGACGGCTTATGCCAGCTATGCTTGCTTGCCTTTACTTTATCATGCTATTTCTAGCATAGGATAATTATATGTATGCATGAATTGTTTGATTTCCTAGGCTAGGTGCTTTCCTATATTATATTATAGTTATAGCACCGAGCTAGGTTGCGTGCACCGAATTCTGGCATTTCGGTTGCCACCGAATTGCCTTCTACCGAATTCGGTAAGGATCTGTTCGGGACGCTTCGCGACCCGCGGAACCTTCGCGTAACACCTGGTTACGGGGCCTTGTGTCGAGTCTATATATAGCCTCGTGTTGTACCCAGGTGACATTCAATTCATTCAATTCAATTCACATTCTCTTTTCTGAGCTCGATCCTAGATCCTCACACTTGGTAATCAGAGCGGGTTTACACGCGAGGTCTTCAACCGCTTAGTTCCAGCCTTTAAAAAACCGCGGGGGCGACGACGAAAGCGCCGATACGGGTATGTAAAACCAGTTCTGCGCAATTTTTCTAAGTCCCCCTCGATTCGGCTTTCGAACACCCCTCAGATTTTCTGGTGGAAAGGTTGGAGTTTCGACCGTTCGATCGAGTTTAATCTCAACGGCCCAGAGAATTTCGCCCAAAAACGTTGGAATTTGGAGCATCGGATTGATTTTCTCCTCAACGGCCAAGATCGGACGCGAATTTCGCCCAATGGCGATTTACGCGACCTACAGAATTCACGCTCGTCGATCCTATAGTCAACTTGACTCGCAGTAAGTCGACCAGCACATAGAATTCGATTATTTTCGTCGCGCATCTTTCTGTAAATCGCCAAATGGAGGGAAAAGGAGATATTTCAGTACAGAGAATCGCGGAGTTACGTGCTGAGCATAAGCAAATACATGCGGCGCTCCCACGACTCGAAAAACTCCTTGCGAACCAGTCGGCAACCGCCACAGCAGCAGCGACAACAGTAGCAGCAGCGAAAACAGTAGCAACAGCAGCAGCGGCAACACCGACAATTCTACATGCGACAACGACAGCTTCTACAGTTAACCTCGAAGTAGTGAAGCTGAGGCTACCGGAGGCGTTCGATCCTACAGTAAAAAGGAACGACGTTCGTCGATTTGTAGCTGAACTCGAAATTTACTTCGAAGCCATTGGATGCACGACCCCGACAAAAGACGCAATGCGCATACGGCTCGCAGCAACACTACTACGAGGCCCAGCTCTAGAGTGGATCCAACAACAGAATAGTCCAAGGCGAGGGGACGTGGGCGCAGTTTCCGGCAGCACTGATCGAACAGTTCGACACGTTGAACAGTAGCTACTACGGAACACGACGCAACAAGCCAACTAGTGGCATGGGGCGATTGGCACCACCCACGACTGCCGACCCGATGGAGAATGACGAGGGCGATGTGGAGCAGCGGCTAGCAAATAATGAGACGTGCAAATTTTGCGGCGCTACAGGACATCGTATCTTGGCGTGTTGGAAAATGAAGAGAAGGTGTGCGGACCTGAAGGACAAGAACATTGCGGCACCCCCGAAGCAGAAAATGGACAACGTGGCAACTTCCGAGAGGGCGAAAAAAGGAGAATATGGTGGCGCAAATTTAAAACGTCACGACCAGCCGGCACCAGGGGAAATCGCCGAGACTAATGGAGGATCCGCGAAACAAGACCCTGCACCGACCGGGAAACTCCAGCCGCATACCCCGACAAGTAAGAATATTACTTCTCGTGGGTTTCAAGCCTTTATTAAGGGAGAGTCAGAAATTAAACCGGTACGGGGTATTATGGGGACCCTACTCCAGAGCGCTAATACGGGTCGAGCGTTCCGAGGAGTTAATATTCTCTCCCAGCAGTACTGTTTAAAGGCTCCCTGTTCCCCACAGATGAAGCCTACACAGCTGCAAAGGCTCAGTGGAAGGTTCCAGGCCCAAGAGAAGATGAATCGACCTCGGATAAATCCTTCTAACCTTTCTCAGTTGAAAACTGATACTGAAGCTGCATCTTCGAGCGCATGACCTAGGGATAACATATTCGACGCACCCTACGATCCTATAAGCGATACCATCTACGGTTACTCGGAGCAGCAACAACCACTACTACTCGAGGTGATTTGCAACGGGCGACGCCTCCAGGCACTGTTGGACAGAGGTGCATCTCACTCGGTGTGTAACCGTGGAGCATTGGAGAAAATTGGAGAGAAGGCGGAAGAGACCCAGTTTTCAGCAACCATGGTGGACGGTACGAAGATTCCTATCCACGGCGAAGCATCACTGCAGTTGCATAAAGGTGCGTTGAGGTGGAAGCCGAAGCTACCAGTCACCAACATCAAAGGGTTAGATTTTATCTTGGGGCGAGATTTTTTGAAGCGGTTCAACCCCGAGATTGATTGGGTCAACAGCAAGGTGTGCATCTACAACAACGGGAAGCGGATAGCACTGCGAAGCTGGACGGATACAGGGGACGTACCTGAAACGACATTTGCACGGTTCAAACAGACGGTGAACGAGAGTAACACGGGGTACCTAGCACTGGTCATGGCAGCAGCAGAGGAGGAGAAGCCGAGTTCCGAGCTCCCTACAGTAGTAAAGGAGGTCTTGGAGCAATACAAGGATATAATGCCCGACGACCTACCTGCAGGCGTACCTCCAGCACGCACCCACGAGCACGAGATCGTGGAGGAACCAGGTGCGAAACCCGTCTCACGTGCACCATACCGACTGAGTCCGACATAGCTAACAGACATGAAGAAACAGATAGAGTATCTACTGGACAGACAACTGATCCGCCCATCCACCTCTCCCTACGGTGCACCAGTTCTCTTTACTCCAAAACCAGACGGCAGTTTACGGATGTGCATCGACTACCGCGCACTGAAAAAACAGACAGTTAAAAACAAATACCCTATACCACGCATCGACGACTTACTGGACCAACTGCGTGGTGCAACAGTCTTCTCGAAGCTGTACCTACGGTCGGGTTACTGGCAGATCAAGATGGCGGACAACTCGATCCACAAGACGGCGTTCAGTACCAGATACGGCTCCTATGAATACTTGGTGATGCCGTTCGGACTCTGCAACGCACCAGCAACGTTTCAGGCGGAGATGAATCACATCTTACGACCCCTGCTGGACGAGTGCGTGGTGGTGTACCTGGTCGACATTCTCATCTACTCCAAGAACATGAAGGAGCACGTGGAGCATCTGTGGAAGGTGTTCGAGATCCTGCGGAAAAACAAGTTCTACGTGAAGCTGTCGAAGAGCGACTTCGCCTTGAAGAAGGTGCAGTTTCTCGGGCACATGGTGAGTGCCGAGGGCGTACACGTGGACCCGCGGAAGATCGAAACCGTCAAGAAGTGGAAAGTACCGGAGAACGTGAAGGAGTTGCAGCAGCTCCTAGGCTTCGCCAACTACTACAACAGGTTCGTGCCACAGTACACTAAGATAGCAGCGCCATTAACCGACCTACTGAAAAAGGATACGCCCTACAAATGGGATACCCCTCATCAGCAAGCCATGGAGCAGCTACAGACAGCACTGACTACAGCGCAAGTACTCATCTTGCCGGAT